TATGCTTATTATGTTATATTCATTTATATTATAAATCGATTACCCTCACAAGTTTTACAAGAAAAGTTTCCATTTGAGCTCTTATTTCATACATAGCCAAATTTTCACGTGTTTTGCACGTTTGGATGTCAAGTATTTCCTTGCCAAAGGAATTACTCGAACCATAAGCTCGTTCCTTGATGCCTCCGTTGTGTTTTTTAAGATATAGCACACAATATAAAGCTTATAGATATCTAGATAGGACCACTTCCAACATTTACACCACCCGCCATGCCAAGTTTGATGAGACCATTTTTCCTTTTAGTGGTGACACCTCATGTGTGGATGATACTACACTTCCTCTCTCCAAATTTGAAGAATCATGTGCAACACTATCAACCCAATCAAAGTCTAGTGTTACACACTCATCTGTTGTTCCATATCGCCCTCCATCGCCATCTCCTTGTCTTCTTTGCCCAAATTCTATTGCGTCTTCTGCTAAAAACTTTGTGCATGAAGCAGCCTTTGTTGATGAGCCGGTATCTCATGTTTCTGCCAGTCCAATCCCACCACCTTCCCTCGCTCTTTCATCTCATCCAATCACCACATGTGGCAATGCTTGTATCTCCAAGCCTCAACACTTTATTGATTTCACATCTCTCACTTCGAGTACATTATACATGGATCTTGTTGCTCATAAAGATCCTAAGGGTTTTAAAACTGCAGTCAAGCATTCAAAATGGCTTAATGTTATGATTGATGAAATTCAAGCACTTCACTATAACGATACTTGGGATTTAGTTCCTCGTCCATCCACCTCTAACATTGTTGTTTCCAAATGGGTTTTTCGCATTAAGTGTCGATCTGACGGCTCCATCGATCGATATAAAGCCCGCCTATTTGCCCATGGTTTTGCTCAGGTTACAGGACTAGATTACTCTTACACTTTCAATCATGTGGTGAAAGCCTCTACCGTTAGAGATGCACAAAGACCCGATCCGATCCGATCCGATCCGGATCCGGATCCGATCCGGTTTTCCGAGGTCATAGCCGATCCGAATAAGCCAATAATCCGAACCGGTTTCAAACCGGATTTGACCGGATTTGACCGGTTTTCCGAGGCCCCAATCCGAATCGGTTTAATCCGATCCGGTTACAATCCGATCCGAAATCCGATCCAAATTTTGTTTTTTTTTTTTTTTTTTTTTTAAAACATTTTTTGGACCTCATATATAACACAAAATGCAACATAGGTTCATTAAAATAGTTAAAACATACATCAAACGTCGAATTAGAAAGAGTTTTTAAACTAGTTAACTAATAATAATAATAATAAAGTGGCGTTATAACGTTTAGCCAAATAGAAATAGTTTTTGTGGTCTTCCACTTCGTGTCGCCTTCACTAAAATATTCTTTAACCGCCACGCAAATAAGTAGGGGTGTCATCAATACCATATTCTTCATCTTCGTCTTCGTCTTCATCGTCATCGTCTTCGTCTTCCGGAGGTGTTGATAAGCCTTGTGCATATTCTTCATCCATGATCTCCGGTTCAACATTTTGTGGTAGTGGGCCTTCTAGTGATGCCAAGTGTTGTATACGTTCCACCGAATCCAAGTAATCCTTCAAGCAAACGCAAACCTCTACCGCAACCGGGGTAAGATTCGTCCTGAACTTTGATAAAACTCTACCACTAAAAGAAAAAGCGGATTCCGAAGCTACCGTGGAAGCTTGGACGGTTAGTAAATCGCGGGCCATGACGGAGAGAATAGGAAATTGTGCTTCCTTTTCTCTCCACCAAGCCAAAAGATCCAAAATTTTAAATTGTGGTGCACTCATGAATTTTAAAAAATTTGACCCCATATAAATTCCAAGTTCGCTACTAGGGGTTAATGTGCGTGCTCTTTTGTTTTGTTCCTCCAAAAGGTAGTTATAGAGGTCGATATGAAAATCCGTTCGACCCCCACCACTACCCGATGCACCACTAGTAGAGTCGGTTACACTTGCAAAAGTGTTTGACATATCGCCATACTTTGTAGCGTAAATGTCAAACAAATTAGTAAAAGTATTATTAAAAGTGTGTATTTGGTTACGGATGTAGTTTGAGTCATCTTTGTGCAAATTTAAAGACATGGAAATTTTGGTAATCAAAGCCTCTACACCCGTAACATTGATACATGGGTTTAATGCCGCGGCACAAGTAAAAAGTGGTGGCATTTCTTTGAAATATTTGACTAGTTTTTGTCTCATTGGTCTCGTAACCAAAACAAATATTTCACTTCTTTGTTCAAAACGCTCCAATTGTGCAGACATCAACCATAATTCATTTAGTAACAACGGACTTGTAGGGTAATACACGCCCGATAAAAAAGTGGTTGATTGTTTAAAAACTTTTAACATTTCCACAAACTCTTCCATCAAATCCCAATCATAATCCGAAACCGGATTTTTTCCTTTTGAAATTGTGTCGTAAAATAATTGTAAAGCGATTCTTTGACGTGTCAAACTTTCAAACATCATACATGTTGAACTCCATCTAGTGTTAACATCCCAATGAGGACTGTATGGAGTTACGTTTATGGAAATGGCAAACTTTCGATATTTTTCCATTGTAGCTTTATTTTTTCCAAAAACTCTAGTTAACACAGTTTTGAATTTTTCAATCGTCGAATCTATCATTTTTAAACCATCTTGTACCGCAAGATTAATAATGTGACAAACACATCTAGTATGAAAAAACGAGCCATCCAAAATAGGTTTATATTTTGCAATTAATCTTTTTGCCGCGACGGTATTATTACTTGCATTGTCAAACGAAATAGAGAAGATTTTGTCGCGTAAATTATAAGTCTCTATAACGCTTACTAAAATTGCAAATAATCATGCCCCCGTGTGAGGATGCGCAAAAAGTTCAAAAGCAATAACTCGTTTGTTCATTACCCAAGTAGTGGGATCTATCCAATGTGCCGTGACAGCAAGATAGCTTTTGGGACAACTACCGGTGGAGGACCAAACATCACACGTTAAAGAAACACGGGTTTTTATATTTAAAAATCCCAATTGCATATCTTTTTTGGCTATATCCCAATACTTTAAAGCATCACGTCTAAGAGAAGTGCGACTTACTTGCCGGTATTGTGGTTGCATTTTTTCCCACAAAATCCTTGTTAATCGTGGGTTGTCGAAGTGGCTGAAAGGCAAGCCCTCTTGAATGACGAACTTGCAAAAGCTTTCACGAATGTCATCATTGTTGTAAATAAAGATCGAACCGTCGGGAGTAATATTTGGTTGATCCGGATCGCCTTGACCTTTTACAACCGGACACGTTTTTGTTGTATGACTCCTCAACGTACTATTGCCATCTTTTCCCAAAAACATCCCGCATTGCTTGCACCTTGCTTTTTCTTTCCCGTTCGACAACAAACACAAATCGTAATGTTCCCAAACATCTTTACTCCGAGTGGTTGGTAAGATTTTAACCACCGTTGCATCCGACTCTTGAGCCGCGGTAGAATTTCGGGAGCTCATTTCTTGGAAGATTATGAAAATAAAAGTATAAAGTAGAAGTAGAAAGTAGTAGAAATGTGTGTAAAATGTAAATGGAGCAAATAGGTTGTATTTATATGTGTTTGGAAGGGCAAAAAAGTCAAGAAAAGTCAAACTAGCCGTTTTTTCCCCTTTCCAACGGCTATAAAAAAAAAATTCAAATTTCCGAAATTTCAACGGTCAAAAAAAAAACCGGATCGGATCCGGTTTGAACCGAATCCGGTTCTCAATCCGAGGGTCAATCCGAAATGCTGTCCGAATACGCAATCCGGTTTCGATCCGGTGGCCGGTTTAATCCGATCTGGTTCGGTCAAAACCGGTTTTGACCAAATCCGGTTTTCGGATCGGATCGGATCCTAGAGCCCAATCCGGTTTTTGTGCCCATCTCTATCTACCGTACTTATCATACTCTCTCTTGTTGTTCACCGAAATTAGGCGCTACGTCAAGTTGATGTCAATAATTTGTTCTTAAATGGACATATTAGTAAGACAGTTTCTATGGAATAACCATCGGGCGCCATAGACTCCCGCTTCCCCACGCATATGTGTCATTTAAAAATCGCCCTTTAAGGGTTAAAAACGGCTCCTAGAACCTGTTTTCAACGTCTCAGTTCCTTTTTTCTTCAAGTTGGATTCATGTGCAGTAGAGACGATCCTTCTTTGTTTATGTTTAAATGTGGGTCTTGCATTCTATATCTTCGTGTTTATATTGACGATATCATTTTAACAGTAAACAATAAGGCTTCCATTGTCAATTTGATTAATCGATTGCCTCAGGAATTTGGCATCAAGGACTTGGGGAAGTTAAGTTATTTTTTGGGTCTTGAGGTTATCTATACCTCCGATGGCTTATTTCTCACTCAAACAAAATATGCCTTGGATATTTTATAACATCTCATTTAAAATAGAATAATTAAATAATAAACGCAGAACCCCGAGAAGTAATTTTTATTATTTCTTTATATTATTATGGCCCAAAAATCAAATAATAATTATCGGGATGTTAGTTTCGAGGGTTAAAGTGTAACTAATGGACTTATTTTGAAAAGGTTTTGTAAGAGGAGGGGCTATTTGGTATCATTTGGACCTAATATAAAAGAATTTATGGAAGCAGGGGTTAAAGAGTAGATATTTGACTTTAATTGAAGGATTTTGGATGGCTAGGGCTAAAAGGGTAAGTTATGTACTTAGGTTGTAAAGAATTCATCATGGAGGGGCCATTTGGTAACTTTTGGGCTTAATTTGAAAGTAAAGGGAGAAGGATGAACCAAATGTGGTATTATGGGGCGAAGTTTCATGAAGCCGGATATATAATCGTTACCACCCGGTAACCCTAACCCTAAACTTCTAAACACCAGTCGCCACCTCCTTCCTTCATCTTCCGGCTACCACCACTCTCTCTCTCTCTCTCTCTCTCTCTCTCTCTCTCTCTCTCTCTCTCTCTCTCTCTCTCTCTCTCCTCCATTCTCCGCCGCTGTCACCCCTCCAACCGATAGCCGCCATCTTCACCCCATAATAAACGTCGTGAGCCTTCAGCGGAGCCGTGCATTGTCGCCGTTGTCCGATACATCGAAGTTGTGAACCGTCGGGAGCTGGCGAAGACCGTTGATCCGAGTGCAACCAATGAAATCTGCAATTCCAACTGCAAAGGGAAAGCATCTGTGAGTATGTAAATCATGTGAACTGACATGTAGAACCCCATGGAATTGGCAAACAGAAATATACTGTATGCTATCGGATTTTCAGTGCCCATAATAGCAGTTCCAGCGGTGTGTCGTTTAATAGAAGCGGTAATATTTGTGGTAGATGATAATGTATTATTGCCTGCGGATGGAATGGAATCATCTTGCCAAGCATCTCCGGGAGGACTAAGTGCTGGTTGATATGTTGCAGTTGTGATCAGAATAACAACCACAAGAAGCGTATTTCTTACTATGCTAGGAGATTCGTTAAGGTTATTGTATTTGAAGTAGTCTAACATAGCTCAAGCTGGAGATCGAGGGTTTTCAGGTCTTGTGTCAGGATGGTTTGGTCTTTCTTCTTGTGGATATGTTGGAGATTGTATGTTTTCAGACTTTAAAGCTCCCGCTTGGACAAGAATCTCCTCAATTTCCCGATCACCAGCTTCACTTTGGAACGTTAGTAGCATATCAAGAGGAGTTAAACCTCTTTTGTTTAAGGAATTCAACTCAATCTTATCCTTGCTGATAACTTGCCCGTTAAGTAGAAAGTCAACCACCTATCAAAAACATAAACTTTGACCTAAAGACTTGAGGTACACTAGACAAAAGATAGCTAACCTACGTACCTCATATTGCTTCATCGAGACGGAAAGGTGTAAGATTGTATTGCCGTGAATGTCCTTAGAATTCAGAAGATCTTCCTTGTTTACTTGCTTCAGATGCTGAATCAAAACTTGGAAAGCTTCGAATTGGTTGTTCTTCACTGCTAGTTGGAGTGAAGTCTCAAGTCGCGCAGTCGTACAGTCCACAGAATCCAAGCTCGCCAAAAGCAACTCTCTCACAATTTCAACTTTACCTTTGACCACAGCCAAATGAAGAGGAATTTTTCAGTCTTTTCCTTTGATCAAACACAAACCAAGGTCAACTTTGAGAAGATCCTTCACAATTTCGGCATGCCCACAAGCAGCTGCTATGTGCAAAGGGGTAAAAAGGAATGACGTAAGCAATGACATAAGAAGCCATTATTAAAAAGGATACATTATTGAAGACATGTGGCCTTTCAATATAGAAAGGATTTGTAATTATTTAGGTTTTGTCTTTTATAATTATTGTATGCAAAGTGTCGGTAGTATAGTAAAATAAAGTATGTAAGACCTTCAATACTCTAGGGGGCATTAATGTAAATAGGTTTGTCATATTGCAATCAACCGATTGCAATTCTATTATTGTACTCGGCTCCTTTGAGCCTATAAATAGGGCCTTTGCCCATATGGAATGGATAAGCTAAAATTGAGTGTTAAAGATTTGAGTTGATCTCAATCTTCTTCTGTTGAAATAGTTCGTCTATTTCTGAATAGCAGAACCCTATCCAAACATATCTATATATTCATATAAACATATCAAACCCAGACAATCAATCCATCGTCAATCCATTCCGACGCATCATTCAGGTATATTCTGTCTTAATTTTATTAATTTCGCCATGTTTTTCAATTTGGTATCAGAGCTAAGTAACGTTCTTATTATTCTTATTACTAGTTTGCATATTCAATCTATCGTTAATAAGAATATATGCATATGCAGCATCATAAACATGATAAGCATCATAAACATGATAAACATCATAAACATGATAATGAATAACCATTGTTTTTAAATATTCATATTTAAAAAAAGTTATCAACAATTTAAATATTTATCGTAAGAAGATTTAATACCATAAATATGTCTCAAGATATTTTCAATTGTTAAATTACTTTTATTTCTTCATGATATTATCATTCCGAGTTGTTTTAACTATTAATTCTACAAAATTTGAAATTTTTATTAAAATAATACTCGTTATTAATAATCAAATTAATCAAATTCATGCTTAAAATATATATTTATGTCTAACAAAATTTTGATGAATTGTATTCCTAATAGAAATATTATTTTAAGAATACAACAAATCCAAGAATCTATAAATAATTCTAAGAAAAATCTCAAGGATTCTTACAAACCTAATAATCAAGGTACGATTTTAAACAATAACCATATTCATGATGTTAGATATTTCATAAGAACTAGTATTAAAATCCGTTATAAGCAAATACGTCGTCTAAAAACAAAACTATTTGTATTTTAAAACGTATGTCTTTTAAACATTATTATAATAACCACTACTATTTTTAAATAAATTTTAATCGTAACTTTAAATCTAAAACGAAACTAAACCATTATTATTATAAAATTATAATCATGAGTTTTTCAAGCCTAGATACAAATAAACAAGAATTAAAATTTTTTCGTAAAACATTGAAACAATCTAAAAAATTTCTTTTAGACTTAAAAATAGATTCTGACATATCAATGATAAATTGTATATCTAATATTGAAGCAATACATATAATAAATAATAGTATAAATTGGAAACAAGAACAAATAAAAAATCTTGAAGATAAAATAACAAAATTAATTTGTTAAATATGATAGAAAAAACAACTACTTCACTAGAAAAAAGAAACTAAAAATTTTATTTTTAATACACACAATATATGGAAACTTTACAAGAAAAAGTAGAAACACTAACTAAATTATTTGCAGCACTAGAAATTCCATCTGAAACTTAAGAAAATAATATAGAAATAGAAAATAATTCAGATGATAATGATGCAGAAGTAATATATGATTTTTCTTCAGATGATGAAAACCCTTATACAAATCCATATAGAGATTCACAAAACAATTTTGGATTAAAACGAAAACAATCATATGTTGAAGATGATTATCAAAGTCAATATATTTATGGACCACCTTCATTAGAAGAAAATTTTTTATATAGACAGGGAATGGTTAAAAATAAACAAAACAAATGGGAAAAAATACCTCCTCAATACATACCTAAATTATTTACATTTCCAACAAATTCAGATATTCTTTTTATTGATTGTGACCAAAATCCTGAAGCAAAAACTCAAGAATGGAGTAATAAAATGGGAGTACAAATTCAGTTAACCGAAGAATTAAGAAATTTACACCCAAAACATTTTCTTAATTATATCATTCATAAAACACAAGGTAACGCATATCGTTTCCTTTCATCTCTTGATGAAACCAAAACAATGATGATAGCCACCACTGATGCTATGGAAACATTTAAAAATGTATTAAGCCGTCTTATTCAGGAATTCATAGGAAAACAAATTGAAGATAAAATATCAAAAGAAGCTTTTCAATTAGAATCACTATGGCATTTAACTAATTTACGAATTTGTAATATGTGTTATTTAGAACCATTTATATGCGAATATTCCGAACATTATTATAATTTAGATCCCACTAGAAAAAAGGCAGCGCTAGATATGTTCTATCAAAAACTACCATCATCAGTAAGCCAAAGTGTAATAAAAGATTTCCAAGAAGCATTACAACAAAATAAAGTTGCAGACACCTTAGGAGCACGAATAAGCATATTAAAAGCATCGATGCAGAAAAAATGTTTAGAACAAAAAACAGCACAAGATGCAAAAATAGATTTATGTTGTGATATCCTTTCTAACAAAGTAAATCAATATGGTTGTAAAGAAAAACAACAAAGTAAAAAGAAAATTTGGAAAAAACAAACTTATAAACCCAAATATAAAGAATATTATAAACAAGGGGAAAGAAAATATTTCCGAAATAGAAAACAATATAAACAAAAATATCAATCCAAAACAAATTATTGCCCATCAAATAAAAAAGACTGTAAATGTTGGATATGTCAAGAAGAAGGACACAAAGCTTATGAATGCCCAAAGAAGAATAAAAAAGAAAAAGAAACAAATATATTAAAAATTGCATACGACCTTGGATACGAACCCATAGAAGATTCAGATATAAATTCAGATATAGATATTTATGCATATACAACTGATTCTGATTCAGATGCAGGTACATAATCCTATGGAAAAAGTATTACTAGAATTAGAACTTGAGGGAAACCTCATATCTAATCTATCTGGAATATACATTGCTAAAGCATACAATGGTATGAAAGTACCATCTGAAGTAAACAATAATAAAGTATACAGTGATATGAATATATCACCAAAAGCATACAGTGATATGAATATATCACCAAAAGCATACAGTGATATGAATATATCACCAAAAGCATACATTGATATGAAAATTCTCATATCATCATTCGAAACAAACAAATTTCAGCAATTATTCAGGTACCCAAGAGACGCAAATATTCAATCCACAGATATATTGAAATGGAAGCAATCATGAAGCAAATCAAACACCAGTTCAAACAAAAAGAAGAGCAAGAAGCATCATTAGTCAGACAACTCGAAGCAGTCAGACGAGAAAAAGAACAACTACGACAAACAATACAAATTCTATCATCCCAATCAGTACCTAAAGAAGAAGCAGCTAGCAGTTCAACAACGAAGCAACCAAAAGAAGACATTCAAGAAATTTCATCCGATGATAGTCAGCCACAAACAATGCTCAAGTCAGAAAAACAACCTATAATACAAAATCCAGAAGAATATCCACCACTTCAAGCAGATCAAAATATAAAGAAATGGTACGTGATTTTCAACGGAGAAAACAAAGGAGTATATGACAATTGGGGAATTTCCAGTTCATATATTCTTGGAAGAAATATTATTCACAAAAGTTACAAAACAAAAAATGAAGCAGGAGCCGCATACAACGAAGCATACAAAGCAGTAATAAAAGATAACGTAGAATGTTCAAAAACAGTTCTCCTAACACCACAAAAACCTATGACCAGCTTCACACCACAAAAACCTGTATCCATCCCAAGATCCCTTAACCAATTAAATGCAAAAATTGCCCTTGAATCCATTCTATCAACCAAAGAAAAGGAAGCCATGAAAAAACCATCTGCCAAAAAATTCGCTGAATTATGGGATAGCCTCGTTTCCTACACCGAGGTCCATTCTTTAATGGGCTTTTACCCAGTAGCCAGGCGCCCAGGCCCTAAAGCAGTTTTCCTAGCCGATTTATCAGATCCTATGACTTTATGGGATTATTTTATTCATGGATTCATCGACACTATCTATCTAGAAGGCACCAATTTACATTGCATCAGCGAATTCCCCTCTGCTGTGCAAACTATCATCAGAAATTATAAAATACGCTTTGCAAAACAAGAAAGAGGATTATTCATCAAAATGCATTCTAGCTACCCAATTTTTGATGAAGATTCTCAACTAATTGTCCCAAGTATTACTTTTGCAAACATGGGAATAAGCAACGGCTCAAAACCAACAAAAGATGATCTACCCCGTGAATCACC